GCCCCCCCTGCAAGCAATGGCGCCCCCGCTCGATACAACGTCCGCTTTTATTCCAGACTTCCAGAAGCCCTGAGGTTCACGCTCATGCGTTCCGAGGTTCTTGGGGATTCCACGGCTATCCCAAGATGGGGCGCCCTGGCGCTGTCGGCGCGCATCGTCGTCATTATCGTCGTCGTCGTCGCCCGTCTCCTCCCCTTCCTCCTCCTCCTCCTCCTCCTCCTCCTCCTCCTCCTCCTCCTTCTCCAATCCTCTTCCTCATCGAGCACTCTTCCCTGTCGCACTCCGAGTGAAGACGTGTCTTGCGCCGAAGAAGCTGATTGCGAACATGCCACGTGGAACGAAGCTATCATAATCATACGTGTACAGAAACAGAAAAGGTATTTCAACACCCCTCATCGCTACAAGCTGGACTGTTTTCCAGATTACAGCGAATGGCACGACTCCGTAGCCATGTCACGGTAGTAGAGCGTGGCGATCCGCCCAAGTTTAGTGTAGCGAAGCGCGCAATAGCGAACCTCAGTGCTGTGCGGGGCTACCCGCAGTCGGAAAAATCGTGGTTTCGAGCTGCCGCGGGGCCGGCTGAGCGGCGAGCAGGGAGGCGACTATTACAGGCGACTGATCCCTGCTACCGGCAGCGGGCGGCTGTCCAGTGAACAGCAAAGAAAGGTGCGCTGGGGGGGGGTGCATCTACGGCCGCCCCCTGGGCACCGAAAAGAGTGGCTGTCGCTGCATGACAGCGCAGTAGGCACGCCTGGGCGGGTGAAAACTAGAGGCGCGGCCTGAGGTAACACTCAGGCGGGGCAGCGCGCATTTAAAAAATGATACCAAAGAAAAACCCAAATCCGATTTTTTTTTGGGGGGGGCTATGCGGCTCTAGGGCTTTAGGGCTATGGGGCTATAGGGCTATAAGGCGATGTGGCCACAGGGATATAGGGCTAGAAGCCTTTAGGGCTATGGGGCTATGGGGCTACAGGGCTATAGGGCTAAAACCTATAAGGCCATTCGGGCTATAGGGCTATATACGGCTATAGGGCTTTAGGACCATAGGGCTATGGGGCTATAGGGCTATAGGGCTATGGGGCTATGGGGCCATGGGGCCATAAGGCTATTGGGTTATTTGGCTATAGGGCTATCGGAGGTGAGGGGGTGAGATCGAAGTGGAACGGCGAGCCCCCCACCAGGAACTCGGTTTCGGTTTCGTGCTCGTGCGTGCCATGCGTGCGAGGCGAAGCTGCGTGGGCGGGCGAGAAAAAGTATCCTGTGGCTGAGGCGCGGCCGGACCAAATGTTTTTCTTCTGGGGCGCGGGGCCCCGCGGTGTCCCGCCGGTGTCCCGCGGCGCCCTCCTGTGGCTGAGGCGCGGCCGGACCAATTGTTTCTCATCCGGGGCGCGGGGCCCCGCGGTGTCCCGCCGGTGCCCCGCGGTGCCCCGCGGTGTCCCGCGGTGCCCCGCCGGTGTCCCGCGGTGTCCCGCGAGGATGATGATGATGAGATGATGATGATGATGATGATGATGATGATGATGATGATGATGATAGTGTCCCGATGATGATCATGATGATGATGATGATGATGTTGATGCTGGTGTCGATGATGATGATAGTGCCCCGATGATTAGGATGATGATGCGCATGCTGATGATGACGACGATGATGATGATTAGGTTCATGATGATGACGACGATGCTGATGCTCATAGTGTCCCGATGATTAGGTTGATGATGATGACGATGATGGTGCCCCGATGCTGATGATGGTGAAGATAATGATGCTGATTCCGATGATGTTGGTGATGACGATGTTGATGGAAATGGTGTCATGGCGATAATGATGTTGATGATGCTGATGATGTTGATGATGATTATGGTGTCCCGATGATGATGCTGATGGTGATGATGGTAATGATGGTGGTGATGCTGATGGTGTCCCGATGATGAAAATAATGATAATGACGATGTTGACGATGATGTTGCTCACGATGATGATGGTGCCCCAATGATGATGATGTTGTTGATGATGATGATGATGTCGATGATGATGGTGCGATGATCATGATGATGATGGTGTCCCGAGGATGATGACGATGTTGTTGATAATGTTGATGATGAGAACGATGGTGATCATGATGGTGTCCCGATTCTGATGATGATAATGATGATGCTGCTGATGCTGATGACGATGACTGTGTCCCGATGATGATAACGTTGATGATGGGATGATGATGGTGATGATGATGAGGTTGTCCCGATGATGATGCTGACGTCGATGGTGATTGTTATGTTTATGATGGTGATGACGGTGCCCTCATGGTGGTGACGATGTTGGTGATGATGTTGATGCTGATGATGCTGATGATGATGATGACGTTGATTGTGAGGACGATTGTGATTCGATAGTGAGATAGATCTACATTGAGACCGAATGCGAGATCGATTGTGTGATCGATTGGGAGATCGTTTGCGAGATCAATTGTGAGAACGATCGAATGAGATAGTTCGAGTGAGATCGATTGTGAGATCGATCGAGTGAGATCGATCGAGCGAGACCGATAGTGAGATCGATAGTGAGACCGATCGAGTGAGACGTTGGCTCCCCCCCCCCGAACCTCCTTATCACCCGAAGGGTGGTCGTATAGGTACGGCTATAGGGCTGTAGGGTTATAGTGCTATGGGGATAAATTGCGATTGGGCTATTGGGCTATGAGGATGTAGGGCTATTGGGCTAGGCACCCCCGGCACTTCCGGGCACCCCGGGCACCCGGGCACCCCAGGGCACCCGGGCGCCCCCGGGCACCCGGGCACCCGGCCCCGGCCACCGAAATCGGCCACACACCTGGGCACCCGGGCACCCCCGGGAACCCCCGGGCACCCGGGCACCCGGCCCCGGCCACCGAAATCGGCCGCTCACCTTACCTCAGCTTCATATCCGCTAGGACCCCTACAGAGGCAAGCTCTGATTGGGGAAAAATTATCCCGGCAAAGCAACCTAACAGCGATGTGTAGAAGCATATCTGAAAGCATTCCCCTTAAGATTCAGATGAAAATCCAGTTGTCGAATTCTGCTGTTCTCGCAGTCGTAGTCGCATTCGCGATGACAGTCGCAGCGGCAACGGCAGTCGCAGTCACAGCCTCAGCCTCAGCCTGCCTCCTCCTCCTCCTCCTCTTTCTCCTGCTCCTCCTCCTCCTCCTCCTCCTCCTCCTCCTCCTGGTCGTCCTCGTTCTCGTCCTCCTCGTCTTGCTCGTCCTCCTCCTCCTGGTGCTCTCTCCTCCTCCTCCTCCTCCTCCTCCTCCTCCTCCTCCTCCTCCTCCTCCTGGTGGTCCTCGTTCTCCTCCTCCTGGTGCTCTCCCCCCCCCTCCTCCTCCTCGTCCTCCTCCTCCTCCTCCTCCTCGTCCTCCTCCTCCTCTTCCTCCTCCTCCTCCTCCTCCTCCTCCTCCTCCTCCTCCTGGTAGTCCTCCCCCTCCCCTCCTCCTCCTCCTCCTCCTCCTCCTTCCTGGTCGTCCTCGTTCTCGTCCTCCTCGTCTTGCTCGTCCTCCTCCTCCTGGTGTTCTCTCCTCCTCCTCCTCCTCCTCCTCCTCCTCCTCCTCCTCCTCCTGGTCCTCTCCTCCTCCTGGTACTCTCCCCCCCCCTCCTCCTCCTCCTCCCTCGTCCTCGTCCTCCTCCTCCTCCTCCTCCTTCCTCCTCCTCCTCCTCCTCCTCCTCCTCCTCCTGGTACTCCTCCCCCTCCCCTCCTCCTCCTCTGGTGGTCCTCGTTCTCCTCCTCCTGGTACTCTCCCCCCCCTCCTCCTCCTCGTCCTCGTCTCTCCTCCTCCTCCTCCCTCCTCTTCCTCCTCCTCCTCCTCCTCCTCTCCTCCTCCTCCTCCTGTACTCCTCCCCCCCCCCCTCCTCCTCCTCCTCCTCCTCTTCCTGGTCGTCCTCCTCCTCCTGGTCGTCCTCCTCCTCCTGCTCGTCCTCCTCCTCCTCCTGCTCGTCCTTCTTCTCCTGCTCCTCCTGCTCCTCGTCCTGCTCCTGCTCGTCCTCGTCCTCCTGGTCTTGCTCGTCCTCCTCCTCGTCGTGCTCTTGCCCCTGCTGAAAATGTGGCCCAGGAATGGGAGTTCTGGGAAGTCGAAGAGCACGAAGTTGCCTACAGTTGGCTACGGGCATTCAAAATGTGGCCCGGGAATGGAGTTCTGGGAACTCGAAGAGCACGAAGTGGCCTACAGTTGGCTCCGGGCATTCAAAATGTGGCCCGGGAATGGAGTTCTGGGAACTCGAAGAGCACGAAGTGGCCTACAGTTGGCTCCGGGCATCCAAAATGTGGCCCGGGAATGGAGTTCTGGGAACTCGAAGAGCACGAAGTGGCCTACAGTTGGCTCCGGGCATCCAAAATGTGGCCCGGGAATGGAGTTCTGGGAAATCGAAGAGCACGAAGTGGCCTACAGTTGGCTCCGGGCATCCAAAATGTGGCCCGGGAATGGCGTTCTGGGAACTCGAAGAGCACTTTGTGTGTGACTGTTGCATCCGGCCCCCCAGAATGTGGCCCGGGAATGGCGTTCTGGGATGTCGAAGAGCACTTTGTGTGTGACTGTTGCATCCGGCCCCCCAGAATGTGGCCTGGGAATGGAGTTCTGGGAAGGCGAAGAGCACGAAGTGTGTGACTGTTGGTGAAAAACGAGCCCGGCTCATGCCGCCCGGAAACGCCCCAACACCTGCCCGGACCCCCCTGTGGAGTGATCTGTGAACTCTTTTGAGACCACTAGAAACCTATCAGTCTTCGCTGTTAGGTAAAATTGAAGACAACGCGGGCTAAAGACGGTGCGCTGTTCCTCGCGCGGCACCGCGCCCCCGTCTCAGGGGGGCGAGGCGGGGGTCCACGGGCCGCGCGGCGGGGGCAACAGTGGCCGGCCCATCACTCGCGCGCGGATCTACAAGTCATCGTCGTCGGAGGGGGCCGCTTGTTCTGATGCATCGCAGGGGCCGGCTGCCGCTGCCCGCCCTCCTCGCATGCGAGGTTGATCATGGCGGGCTCAAGCTTCTACACGAGCATCTCGCTCAGCAGCGTCGCAGCCTGCTGCCACTGCCGAAGCTACCTCTTCTCGCAGCGCCGTAGGTGATGATGTCGGGGGCCCCGACGTCTCGCAAGGCTGCGGCGGGGCCGGCTGCCACTGCAAGCACTTCTCGCAGTCGCTGATCGGGGCTCTGTGTCTCGCCATTTCCGGCTCCAGCTTCACAACCCACATCTCTCTGTGCAGCGGCAGGGCTGGCTGCCCCGCGTTGTGGCCCATGATGTCGGGCTCCAGCTTCGCCACCCGCCTCTCGCTGAGCAGCGATAGGGCCCGCTGCCGCTGCTCGCCCTTCTCGCGCGCTCTGACCGGAGTGCCGGAGCTCTTGACGGCGGGCTCCAGCTTCAACACCCGCACGCTGAGCAGTGATGGGGCCCGCTGCCGCTGCCAGCACTTCTCGCACGCGCTGCTCTGGTCGCTGTAGATGGCAGGCTCCAACTTCACCCCCAACCTCTCGCTGCGCCGAGCCAGAGCTGGCTGCCACTGCCCCTTCTCGCGGGCGCTGATCGCAGTGCTGTAGCGGCTGATGTTTGGCTCCAGCTTCGCGACTGCCATCTCGCTCAGCACGGAATTGTTGGAATTGGTGGTGGTGCTGTTGGTGTCGGTCAGGTGCTGCTGGAGTCGGTCGCTGCGCAGCTGGGGGTGGTGGCGAAGCTGCTGGAGTCGCACGGGTGCTGCAAGAGTCAGTCGCTTGTTGGTCGTGGTGCTGCTGGGGTTGGCGGCGGTGCTGCTCAGGTGCTGCTGGAGTCGGCCGCGGTGAAGCTGGGGTTGGGGTCGACTCTGCTGGAATCGCTCTAGTGCTGCTGGAGTCGGTCGCACGTTGGTCGTGGTGCTGCTGGAGAAGGCAGTGGTGCTGCTGGTGTCGGTCAGGTTCTGCTGGAGTCTGTCGTGGTGCAGCAGGGGTTGGTGTCGATGCCGCTGGAGTCGCAATGGCGTAGTTGGAGTCGATCGCTGGTTGGTCGCCGTGATGCTGGAGTTGGTGGAGCTGCTGTTGGTGTCTGTCTGGAGCTGCTGGGGCCAGTCGTGGTGTGGCTGGGCTTGGCGTTGCTGCTGCTGGAGTCGCTCTTGCGCTGCTGGAGTCGGTCGCACGTTGGTCGTAATATTGCTGGAGTTGGCAGTGGTGCTGGTGTCGGTCAGGTGCTGCTGGAGGCGGTCGAGACGCAGCTGGAGTTGGAGTAGGTGCTGCTGGAGTCGCCCTGGCGCTGCTAGAGTCGGTCGATAATTGGTCATAGTGCTGCTGGAGTTGGCGGAGGTGCTGCTGGTGTAGGTCAGATTCTGCTGGACTCGGTCGTGGTGCCACCGGGCTTGGTCGGCGTTGCTGCTGGTCGGCGGTCCTACTGGTCGGCGGTGCAGGTCGTTGCTGCTGGACGGTGGTCGGTGCTGCTGCTGTTCGGTGCTTCTGCTGCAGCCGACCAGTGGTCGGTGCTGTTGCTGGTCGGCGCTGCTGGTCAGCACTGCTGCTGGTCGACGCTCCTCTTACTCGGTGCTGCTGGTCGGCGGTCGGCGCTGCTACTGCTGGTCGGCGCACCTGCTGCAGCAGGCCGGTGGTCGGTGCCGCTGCTGGTCGGTGTTGCTGGTCCGTGCTGCTGCTGGTTGGTGTGCATGCTGGTCGGTGCTGCTGGTCGGTGGTCGGTGCTGCTGCTGGCCGGCGATCCTGCTGCAGCCGGACGGTGGTCGGTGCTGCTGCCGGTAGGCGCTGCTGGTCGGTGCTGCTGCTGATCGGCGTTCCTGCTGGTCGGTGCTGTTGGTCGGTCGTTGCTGCTTGGTCGGTGCTCCTGCTGCAGTCGGTCGGCGGTCGGCGCTGCAGCTGGTCTGCGCTGCTGGTCAGTGCTGCTGCTGGTGTTCCTGCTGGTCGGTGCTGCTGGTCGGCGGTTGGTGTTGCTGCTGGTCGGCGCTCCTGCACCAGCCGGTCAGTGGTCGGTGCCTCTGCTGGTCCGCGCCGCTGGTCGGTGCTGCTGCTGGTCGGCGACCCTGCTGGTCGGTGCTGCTGCTCGGTGGTCGGCGCTGCTGCTGGTCGGTGCACCTGCTGCAGCTGGTTAGTGGTCGGTGCTACTGCTGGTCGGCGTTGCTGGTCGTTCCTGCAGCTAGCTGGCGCCCCTGCTGGCCGGTGCTGCTGATCGGCGGTCGGTGCTGCTGCTGGTCGGTGCTCCTGCTGCAGCTGGCCAGTGGTCGGTGCTGCTGGTCGGCGCTGCTGGTCCGTGCTGCTGCTGGTCGGCGTTGCTGCTGGCCGGTGCTGCTGTTCGGAGGTCGGCACTGCTGCTGGTCGGTGCTCCTGCTGCAAATGGTCGGTGGCCGGTGCTGCAGCTGGATGGCGCTGCTGGTCGGTGCTGCTGCTGGTCGGAGCCCCTGCTGGTCGGTTTTGCTGGTCAGTGGTCGGTGCTGCTGCTGGTCGGCGTTCCTGCTGCAGCCGGCCGGTGGTGGGTGTTGCTTCTGGTCGGCGCCGCCGGTCGGTGCTGCTGCCGGTCGGCGCCCCTGCTGGTCGGTGCTGCTTCTCGGTGCTCGGTGCTGCTGCTGGTAGTGCATGCTGCAGCTGGCCAGTGGTCGGTGCCGCTGCCGTTGGTCGGCGCTGCTGGTCGGTGCTGCTGCTGGTCGGCGCCCCGGGTGGTCGGTGCTGCTGGTCGGTGGTCGGTAATGCTGCTGGTCGGTGCTCCTGCTGCATCTCTCGCTGAGCATCGACTGGGCTGGCTGCCACTGCTCGCTGTTCTCGCACGCGCTGGAGCACTGCCTCTGCGCGCCGTCGCGCCTCGTCTGGGCCCCAGTAAGGGTCGAGGAAGGCCGGAAAGCCCTGGCCCTGATGGCCCAGCAGCGCAGCCGCCTCCCGGCATAGGCTCCGGAGACTTGACTCAGCAGCACCCTCCACATCTCGCAGAGCGGTGACAGGGGCCGCTGCTACGCTTCGCCCTGGGCCAGCTGGTCGGTCAGCCTGCTGGTTGGTGGTGCTGCTGGTCGGTGGGTCTGCTAGTCGGTCGGTGGCGCCGTTGCTGGTCTGTGGGTCTGCTGGGCGGCGGCGCTGTTCATGGTCGGTGGTGCTGCGCGCTTCAGCCTCTACACGAGCATCTCGCTCAGCAGCGTCGCAGCCTGCTGCCGCTGCAGAGGCCGCCTCTTCTCGCAGGCGCTGTTCACAGTGCCGTGGGTGATGATGGTGGGATCCAGCTTCGCTCCCAACTTCTCGTTGGGCCGAGCCAGAGCTGTCTGCCGCTGCCCCTTCTCGCAGGCGCTGATCACAATGCTGTAGCGGCTGACGTCGGGCTCCAGATTCACCACCACCCTCTCTCTGTGCAACGGCAAGGCCGGCTGCCCCGCGTTGTGGCTCGTGATGTCCGGCTCCAGCTTCACCACCCACCATTCGCTGAGCGGCGATGGGGCCCGCTGCCACTGCTCGCCCTTCTCGCGTGCACTGATCGGGGTGCCAGAGCTCTTGGCGGCGGGCCCCAGCTTCACCACCCACACCTCGCTGAGCAACGATAGGGCTGGCCGCCGCTGCCAACACTTCTCGCGCGCGCGGTCGTTGTAGATCATGGTGTCGGGCTCCAGCTTCACCGTCCACATCTCGCTGCGCAGCGGCGGGGCCCGCGACCACTGCTCGCACTTCTCGCACGCTCTCACCGGGGCGCTGTAGATCATGACGTCGGGCTCCGGATTCTCTACCCACATCTCTCTGTGTAGCGGTAGGGCCTGCTGCCCCGCGTTGTGGCTCATGGTGTCGGGCTCCAGCCTCGCCGCCCGCCTCGCTCTGAGCGGCGATAGGGCCCGCTGCCACTGCTCGCCCTTCTCGCGCGCTGGTGCTGCTGGAGTGGGTCGCTGGTAGGTCGCGGTGTGGCAGGAGTCGCACTGGTGCTGCTGGTCGCGGTTCAGCTGGTGATGACGTTGATGTTGCTGGAGTCGCACTGGTGCTGGTGAAGTGGGTGGTTGGTTGGTCGTTGTGCTGCTGGAATTGGTTGTGGTGCTGTTGGTGTCGGTCAGCGGCTGCTGTGGTCGGTCGTGGTGCAGCTGGTAGTGGCGTTGATGCTGCTGGAGTCACGCTGGCGCTGCTGGAGTGGGTCGCTGGTTGGTCGTAGTGTTGCTGGAGTTGGTGGTGGCGGTGATGGTGTCGGTCAGGTACCGCTGGAGTCGGTCGTGCTGCGCTGGTGTTGCTGGAGTGGGTCGCTGGCTGGCCGTGGTGCTGCTGGAGATGGTGGGGGTGCTGTTGGCGCCGGTCAAGGGCTGCTGGAGTCGGTCGTGGCGCAGCTGGTGATGGCGCCGATGTTGCTGGAGCCACACTGGTGCTGCTGGAATGGGTCGCTGGTTGGTCGCGGTGCCGCTGGAATTGGTGGTGGTGCGGCTGGCGTCGGTCTGGCACTGCAGGAGTCGATCGCGGTGCAGCTGGTGATGACGTTGATGTTGCTGGAGTCGCACTGGCGCTGCTGGAGTGGGTCGCTGGTTGGTCGTGGTGCTGCTGGAGTTGGTGGTGCTGCAGTAAGTGTCGGTCAGCGGCTGCTGTGGTCGGTCGTGGTGCAGCTGGTGACGGCGTTGATGCTGCTGGAGTCGCACTGGTGCTGCAGGAGTACCGAAGAGCTTGCTGAGCATGTTCAAGACGCAACGCCAGCCACCGCGAGCAGGCCAACTCGGCGGCAAAGGCGACGGCATCACTTCCGGCCTCAATGACCCGCAGCCCCGCGGCCACGCGGTGATGCTGCTCCAGCGTGCCGAAGGTGCGCAGATGCTGCCCCTCCCGTGTTGCTGGGAGCTCAATGGCAGCCCCCGTGCCGGCGCGGAGATCGTTGAGCAACGCCGCGCAGTTGGCCATCAAGCGCCCGCGTCCACGGCCAGGCAAGTCCATCTGGAGCCACTGGGCCACTGGCTGCGGCCCCCCCCCCACGATCTCGCCAGCATCGTGGCGGGCAAATGCACCGACAGCGGAAATCGTCTCCTGGCAACGGGGGCAAGCCACGCGGCCCGCCCAGGTGCGTCGCCGCCGCCGGACCACAAGACCTCGTAAGAGGTGGCACAAGCGGCTCCGCGCACGCTGCACGTCCACCTCGGAGAGGGCCGCTGGCGCCGCGAGGAGCCGACTCGGCGCCGGCGACACAGGCGCGTCGGTCAGCGGGTCTGTCCAAGTGCCCTCGTGCTCGAGCACATGCCAATCCGTGCATTTGACTGCGCGACGGGCCGGAGGGAACGCGAGGTTGGCGAGCGTGCCGATCCAGACGCCGAGCCCCCACTCCGATCTGACCTCCACGGCGGCACGGGCGCCCTGCAGAACGACGCGGCGAGCGTGGACTTGCGCATGGCGCTGGAAATCGATAGTGACGCCAGCGCTGCCCTAGCGGAGGCGCACGCTATCCATCCACCCGTCGACGAACAAGCCTGCCGAAAGCGTGCCCCGCAGCAGTGCCCGAGTGACGATCCGCACGTGGAGCGGTTGGTCAGACGCCTCCGTGAGGCTGCTGAGGAGCTCTTCCAGCAAACCGAGGCTGGTGACCTGTCCCAGACCAGCGGCCCGCAGGCTGTCCAGGAGGCAATCGTCGTCGAGCAGGTCCAGGGCTGGGAACTGCCAGGCGGAGCGGCGGAGGGACCACAAGTACGGGTCGTGGATGGTGGCGCTGCTGGCCTGCACTCTCGCTGCCCATCGGCAGTGCAATGTCGTGGCCCTGGGAGTTGAAAGCGAGGACGGCGTGCTCGAGAAGTCGCGGGGCCCCTGGGTCGCACGTCTGTCTGTCAAAAGACCCCGTGTGACTGAATCTGCACCGGCCGATGGCATGCCATGGGCAACCCAACCCATGCCGGCACAGCACGGTCCGCCGGCTTCCATGGCCAGGGGCCCGCTCAGGCGACGGGCGACGGCCTCGCGAGTCGACGACCGTTCTCCGAGCAGCATCGCCGGTCTGGCGGCGGCGGAGGGCCTGGCGCCAAGCACGCTGGATGGCCAATACATGCATGGCATCGAGGCCGGCCACATCTCCCGGCTCTCCGTCGGGGCACCGCCCGCCGGCTGCAGGGTGGGCCTCCTCACTCCGAAGCGGCGCGCCGCCCACGTCACTCTGGGGGGGGGCCCGTACTCCGGAGCGTCCGCGCGCATCCGGGGGGCCCACTGCTGGCGAGGCGCGCGTCGCGCCCCGCGCTGGAGGCGCCTGCGCTCCGTGACCGACAGCGTCGCGAAGCTCCGGGTGAGGTTGAATTGGCGCGACGCCACGGTGCGGGCAGCCACGGCGTCGGCGCCGGCAGCCGCAGCTGGGCGGGAGGCCCCCGCGGCGAGCTGGGCCCGCAGCACCACCTCTTTGGCTGCCATCCTCTGGGCAAGACCATGCTCAAAAGCCTGGTCGAAAGAGCCTGACCCCCACGACTGGGCGGCAGCCTCGACCTTCCGCTGCAAAACTCGACCAGCAGCGGCGACATCGTTGAAAGCAGCGCGGCGCCCCATGCCGCGTGCGTGCACTGCTCACGTAGCCAACAACGCACTTCCACTAAGGAGTTCGTCTGGCTTGAGCCAAAATCGATACGGTCTGGTGGCGATATTTTGTTTTTTTACAGCCGCAGGCGGAAGCGCCGGCGGCGGCGGGACACGGTCGGGCTGCGGCCGTGACAAATTAGCCGGGCGCGCGCGGGGGCCGCGGGTCAGGCGGCGGTGCAAGCTGCTGCCCAGGGAGTCTGAAGGGAAACAGCCACCCAGGAAGCAGGGAGGTCGCTGCCAAAATGGCGCGACGCACATCCCCAGTCGAGGATCGTGTAGGTCCGACGATCACGAGGTAGTGGGGATCAGTCTCCGTGCATGAGGGGTGTCAGAGAGCCCAGGGTGTCTGTCGGGTATGAGCGAGACCGTAGGCAAAAGAGCTGACGTCGTCCAGCAGGGAGAAGGTCTCTGACAGCGCCAGCGAACCGTCGCAGCTTCAGAGAACGCATCCACGCGACAGAAAGGGCACGCCTGAAGTCATTGACAACCGGAGTCGCCCTCAGAACAACTGCGGAGGAATGCGTGTGCACGCGAAAGATCAACGACATGATGTGACGCAGTGCAGGGGTACACCTGCCCCCGACCCTGGCGAGAGACGCGACGGCCAACCGAAGGTGACAGGGCGTGTACCAGGAAGCAACTAAGTGACATAACAAAGAGCGGCTCTCCATCCACGCTGGGGGCCTGGTGGCGATATTTTTCTTACAGCCGCTGGCGGAGGCGCCAGCGGCGCAAGGTCGCGAACGGGCCGCGGACGCGACGCAATTACCTAACGCGCGCAGGGCCGCGGATCAGGCGGCCCACGACAGCGTCCAGGGAAGACGATGCAGCCCAGGTGCCATGACAGCCCCTGAACGGGCATGCAGGTGCGTCCAGCAGGCCTGAGGTAGGCACCGAGACCACCAATCGCGGCCAAAATGACGCGAAAACGTTCCAACGTCCAAGAGCGAACAAGGGAACGGCCGAATACGCCAGCCCCAGCCTGTCGAAACAGAGGTCGGGGTGGTAGGTCCAGCGAGGATCCCACCGGCGGCAGCGAGCCGCGGCGTCAGCAACATCAAGGTGTATCCATGTTCCGAAAAGACAACCACACCAAGACGCATCGGCCCAGACCCAGCGGGTGAAAGGGCACAGAATGCACGCTCCCGTCGAAACGCGGCGCGCGCAGGGCACAGTGTCACAGTGCAGTCCAATGAGGCGGAGAGCACAAGCGGAACGAGACTGTGTATACCCAGGCAAGTCCCACAAAGCCACTGATCCAAGGTCGCGGTAGGAAGCCGCCCAGCAATTACGTCCAGAGGGCACCGATCCATGGAGCCTGCAAGACCACAGGCCGACTGGGGACAGGTAGCAACTGAAGAGCAGGCGGCGAGCAAGTCGCGACGTAAGAAGCGCATCCAGGGTGTGGAGAGTGATAACTAGACAGAACAACCACACCTGAGATGCGACAGCCCGGACCCGACGAGTGGAAGGTAGGGAAGGGCACGATGCGCGGCAGACCCCTAGGAGTGCGCACATCAAAGGTGGCCCAGCGATACCCATCCGAGTCGTCTAGCACAGAGGGGCGAGGACGTCTTGTACCCGAGACGTGTCCCACAGAGCCAACGGATCCAGGGTGACGGCGGAAGGCCGTCCTTCTTGTTTGCAAGGTCCAGGGTGACGGCGGAAGTGCAGGGGGGGGGCCAGCGGTCAGGCGGCGGTGGCCCACTGACAGGCCAGGAAGGCCTGGCGGTGAGACAGCTACAGTAGGGCCTGGGGCCGCGAGTCCACTGCAGAGAGGCAGTGGACGGCATTGCCGAAGCGCGCACCTGGATCCAAAGGCAGGAGGTGCGCGCAACGGACGGAGGGCGGCAGAGCGCCGCGATTGGGGGCCAGCGGCGCGGCCTGGGCAGCGCCCGCTGGGATTCAGGAAGTGAAACATGGCGGGGGGGAGAGGGGCCGAGTGACAAGAGGGCGTCGGCCACCAGTGGAGAAGGCAGCAATGCCAGTGGCAAGTGGTTTGCAAGATGCGTGGCGTCACGCACGGAGCAGGCGGCATTACCGAACGACACCCCAAGGCAACGGGTGAGAGAGAGGGCGCCGCTCAGGGGAGGGGGGGCCGGGCCGCCCCAGGTTGAGGGAAAGGGCGGCGGAAGGCCGCGGTGGCGCGTCGTGAAGCGCAGGCGGCGGGGCGGGCACTGGGGGGCGGTGAGGGCAGAAAGGTAATTCAGTCTTTCCAGCGGAGCCTCTTTTCATCTCGATCATCCCGATCATCAGGGCAACCTCCGCCGCGCTTGCCACCCGCCTGCCAGTGATCCTCGCGCCATCCGTCGCGCCACTCGCCCTGCCAACTGCTCCAGGAGCCCCAGGAACTTGTCGCACGGTCGCGCCAGCCCGTGTGGCGATAGCCGCCTTTGCTCCAGTCGTCTGTCTGGGAGTGCCGCAGGTAGTTGGCTCGTATCTTGTTCCAGTCGATACCATAGCTCAGTCTCCTGTCCATCTCGTAGGCGTCGTACCCGCAGTCCTTCCAGGCCTCTAGGAAGTTGATGATATCCGCGGGCGTGTGTAATTTCGGGTCGGACTTGGGCACCCTCCATCCAGGGGGCAGAATACGCTGCGTGTTCGCTGTCCACAGTGCGCAAACAACTGCCCCCAGCTGCGACTGAAGCCTGGACATGCAACTGGCTGGTGTCTCGTCGGGACGCTCGAGCTCGACGGTGCCCAGCCTGACTTGGTACATTGGGCCGCCTCCATCAGGGCAGGACAGCGTGTGGAGTGCATCCTGCTCCGAAGAGCCAGTGTGGCGAGAGTAGTGGGGCCTCCGCTCAGGGGGCGTCGGGGTGGGCGCGGGAAGGCGCTCGTACCGCGAGGTGCCACCGTCGCTGGTCCTCTCGTGCCTCGCGGGGTTTCGAGCTGGAGCCCTCCCGCGATCGGCGTAGGGCGTGCCCTCTGTCACTGAAGTCGCAGTATCCTCGCGGCTGGTGTCGGAGCTGTCCGCCGACGGGCTACGCTGTGGGCCATCTCCGCCTGAGCGATTATCGTCGCCCTCCTGGGCCGACTCAGAAGGCGTGGGAGGACGGGCAGGTCCATCCTCTTCGTAGTCGGGCTCCATCTTGTGAAGGGGGAGCCCGTCTTCCGCGCCTTCGCCGCTGTCGTCGTCGGGCGGGTCATGGCGGCCCATGTGCGAGTCGCCCGCTGAACCCTGAGACCTGTCTGCGTCGGCCGCCATGGGAGTATCTGGCCTGTCGTCACCGCCAGAACGCGCGCCAGATGGAAGGGACTCTGCCAGGGAGGTGATCTCTGGCGCCGCGCCAGAGCTGCCTGCGGGGCTGGGTCCAGGGGGATTGCTTGCTCCGACCTCGGTGAATTGGTCCTGGGCTTTGGCGCCCTCGCCAAGCCACGGGAGGGAATCCACGATGTCCACAGGTGCCTCGAACCCAATCTGGCTGCTGAGCGGGGGAAGGGCCAGAGGTTCATCTGGATACAGCGGCCTGAAGTCGCGATCCAAGATGCGGCCCAGGGTGGCCGGGCCAATGTTCCAAATCGGGACCAGACAGCGCCGGCAGCACCAAGTAGCGTTCCATTGGCGTCCCCACCAGGCCAGGGCACGCTCATCGATGGGGGGCATTCCATGTTGCTCGGGAACTCCTATGTCTTCAGCCGGCGCCCATATGAAGCACCCCAGCGGCGGAGAGCCGGGGTCCCAGACCAGGAGCGGGGCCCCCCGGGGGCAGGTGTCGCACCGCGCGGAGTAGGTCCGCGTTTGAGCGGCTTTGATGCCGAAGCGGTCGCCCCGGATCCGGAGGACCGGAATGGTGGTATTGGCATACTCGGGGATCTCCATGCCCGTCGGTTCCATGATCATGTCATCTAACTGCCTCGTGTCCGCCAGGGGGCTGCAGCCGTAGCCGAGCGGAAGGAGTCCCAGGGAAGGGAGGACACTCGCTCTGTCGTTGCAGGCCCCCGATATCTGCTGCTCATGTTCCCTGATTTTGTCGGTGAGCTTCGCTCCGGCAGGCGCAGGGAAGCCATTGTCCTCGAGGTGCCGTATCCAGCAGCCAGCGCAGTACCAGCCCATGTTGGCGCCTTTGATGTACTCCTGAAGTCTATTCTGAGCGACCATCTGGCGCGTGCTGTCGGAGATCCAGGTACCATCAGCGGCAGTCAAATAGTCCTTCCCGCAACTGTCGCACGCGTATCTGTTGATTTTCTTTTCGAGCGCGAGCCTTGTCGGGGATGAACGGAGGGCCCAGTCTGGTGCCCGGGGCCGGTGCCGGTGGTGGAGGGGCGTTGAGGTTGGTCTGGGACAAGGCAAGTCCGCCGCCGATGTAGGAATGGCCCGCGACCCTGTCGTCGGGACCTAGGGAGGCGTCGGAACCAGCCAGTGCGACGCGTAGTGCACACACTGAGCAGTCGCCTGCGTCCAGGCAGGTCAGGGTTGCTGCCGGGACGATCCGCTCGAGAACGATCATCGGGGCTTGCAGCTGGAAGTCCTGTCTGTCCATCTCGCCCCAGGTCTGCGGGCAGCCGGCTTCCTGCGCAGCCGGGTGGTGATGGGCCAAAGCCGCGAGCTTGGAGATGCGTGGTAGGACAGCCTCGATGCGACTGTGCAGGTCGGCCAAGTCTTCCAGGGCGAGGCTCCAGGTACTGGCGAACCTTTTTTTTTTTTTGTTCGGAAGTCCTGGTGGACCTCTTGCCAGGGCACGGAAAATCCCAGAATGGCTTCGATGACGTCCCCGGCCGGCTCCGCGTGAGAGAAAGGCCATAGAAACACTCGCGGCTCACGGAGCATCAGCATCATGACCACCAGAAGCGCGCGGGCCTTGCAGGAATCCATGGGCTGGCCGTCAGTGTCTACGAGTCCCTGGCGGAAATCTTCCATCGAGGAGCCGCGCCCCCTGATGATGTCTCCCAACCCGGTCATTCCAGGGTGCTTCCGGTGTCTGCAGCAGTCCTTGGTAGCGGAGCTCCAAGCCTTGGGGACCTGACGGAAGAGTCCTTTGGGAATGCACTGGCGGCGCTTCCACAGCGTTGCACGCCTGCCGCTGGCGTGAGGCAACGGGGGAAGGGAGTCGTCGGGAATGGCGTAGTCCGCATCCCTCCAGGGGGTGCCTAGGCCGAGCGACCAGACCATTGCTGCCCATAGCGTGTTGTAGACTAGATTGGTCGCGTCGAGCCCGAGAGACATGTCAAACAAGAACCCCAAGTGCGACCAAGCCTTGCGGTCGAGCATGCCCGGCTGCCGCGGTGTGTTGGCCAGCGTGAATTCGCGAGGATGCACCCCGGACATGAGGTAGATGAGCACGCGGAAGGCCGGTGTCGAGAGGATATCGTGGAGCCCTCCCGAGATTAGCTTGCCCAGGGTGTCCCAGTCGTAATTCTCTTCCAGGGGCGCATTGAACCGTTCGGCGAAGCAGGTGGCCTGGGCATCGCGCGCTTTCTTCTTGGCGACGTCCAGCTCGTTCTGTCCTTTCTCCCCCTTTGCGACGCTGCCCCATGCAGGGGGCGAGGGAATCCATGCGGCGAGGTCCTGGAGTGGGTCGAAGCTGTCGTCAATGTCCAGGGAGAGCCTGCGGCCCACGGGGGAGCTGCCACGAAAGTGGACCCAGAGGCGAGTCAGTCTCCCGTACTCCGAGAGCACGCGAAGCTGCGACCATGTGGCGTTGGCGAACATGCGCCCGTCTCCCAAGATCAGGATATTCCGCTTGGCCCTGGTGATTGCCACGTTAAGGCGCTTGGCGTCGTCGAAGAAACCCCAGTTGTAGCTGCCGTTGCTCCGGGTAGTTTACACTATTACGATGTCCGCCTCGCCTCCCTGGCTGGAGTCGATTGTCGTGAGTTTGAGAGCCCCAGTGCTCATGTGCTCGCCCGCCACCTGACGTAGTCCAGGGAAGTTAGAGCTGATGGCAGTGTTAGCATTGTCGTCTTCCCGGAACACATTTTGCCAGCGGTGAGTGTCCACCCTGTGGCTTCGGGGGAGGTGTCCAAGGCCAGGAGTATCCTGACCACCGCGTCCAGGACCGTTTTTCCCTTTGCCGGGCTGCCCTTTGGCGCCACCTCTGGTGTTGCGCAGAACGCCGGTGAGGTGACGAGGACCCTGCGGCCATCCGTCCATGAAAATGGCCGTCTGGAGCTGGTAGCCGACCACGATTCTGACAGTGGTGCCCTTGCGGAGCTCCGGTAGCAGGGCGCGCACAATATCCACGGCTTGGGCCGCCTCCGGAAGATTGGCAAAGCCTGGTTGTAGCTCGGAGGTGACCTCCCAGGAGGGTGTGTGCACCATTAGGAAACGGTGCTGGTCTGGGCCCAGCGGCGGGTCCAAGGGCTCAAGGGTGGCGCGGAGGTCACTTTCGTCGGAACCGGTGAGAGTAGCCAGCTTTGCCAGTCGTCCAGGTTCCTACGCGCGAATGTCTCTCCAGGGGATGCCCTCAACTATTTTCCGCTCTCTGAGCGGGTCCAGGATGCCAGACTTCATGCCTTTCCCGTAGTAGGCTGCGTTCGGGAACGCAAGTAGCTGCGGATGCATCCGAAGCGTCAAGGATTCATACACATCCACCATCTGGGGGGCCCCGGAAGGCGGTGGACAGGATATCCTGGGGGCCGAATCTGTTCATATCCATCGCCGCCTGACGTACGATAACGCCGAATACCACAGCCCCCGCAATGACGATAAAAGTGAGGGGGCGACGGGGTTTGTTGGCAGTCTGCGTGCTCTGAAGAAGCCCGCCGCAGGCGTCGATCTCTTCATACAACGGGCCCACCGCAGGCCCCGACTTCGTAACAGCAGAATGGGTGAGTCGCGGATGGGTCGCGGGTAGGACGACGACAACAAAGCAACGACAGGGATCCGCGTCGCGGAATTACACTTCAGCCACGCACTGAGAGACGGCGTAAGACCGTTCGACTCCCTCGCTCTGATCTGCGCCAACCCCACGGGCGGGGCCCAGACGCAGCGAAATCGCTCACTTGGCGATGGGCGCGAATTAATAGGGGGCGATTTAAAGGGGGGCAGAAAGGTGCCCTTCTCGGGCCCTAAGGCCCCCTTTGGAGCCCTGAAGGGCTCAAGGGGGGGAGAAAGGTGTCCTTTTCGGGCCCTGAAGGCCACCTTCGGAGCCCTATTATTAAGGGACCCTTTTAGGGGCCCTAGAGGGCCCCTTTTCTGCAGCCCTCGTTGCCCCCCTCATTCATCGCCCCCCCATTACTGAGGCCTCCTAGATGGGGTCCGAGTAGATGGGGTCGGAAGATGCACCAGCGATGAGTCGTCGACGTCGGCGAGCCGCGTCGCCGATGCATCGGCGATGCGGCGCGATCCTCCGACTGCCGAAGTGCCGGCCTGGGCTGCGCGCGCCGCGCCCGCCCGAGGCGCGCCTCGTCGTCCAGCTCCTGCGGCGGCAGCGCACGCGCCGCGGCGAGCGCGCCGAGCGGGCGCGCCCCCCGGAGCTTCCCAACTGGGCAGGCCGAAGGCCGCTCTCTATATACCGAACTTCAGGCCTCGGCAACACGTAGCGAATGCTCATACCACGCTCATGGTTACCCCCAGTGGTGGCCAAAGCTGTCAGCGGCTCTGATGAATTGCGCTTCGACCGCTGTCTGCCCCACGCGTGCCAACTTTGGACACCCAACCTCAGCCCAGGCCCTGGCTGGGTATTACTGGCCCCGGCCTTAGCCGGCCCCGGCCCCGGCCCCGGCTGGCCCCTGGCTGGCTCCGACCCTTGGCGCCTGGGCCCTGGCCCCTGGCTGGCTCCCCCGCTCCCGCCCTGGCCTCGGGCACCGGCCCTGGCCCCGGCCGCGGCCCCTGGCCCCCGGCCCCCGGTCCCAGGCCGGTTCCGGCCCCAGCACGCAGGCCTCGGCCCCAGTTCCCGCGCGTGCTTTCGAAAGGGTTCGTGCCGATGCAATCTTGGCGACCCAGAGCCTGCTCCGGCCCGGGTGCCAGGGCCCAAGCCAGGGCCCCTGCCATGGCCTCGACGCCGGCCCCGCCCCTGGCCCCGAAAACCTGCACAAAGAGCGAAAACCCGGTAAAACGGAACAGGCCCCCCCTCTCCTCCCCTCCAAGGCGAAACGACCCCTCCCCTGTGTCTGAAAAAGGGAACAGCCCCTGCATCCCCCCTTCGCCTTCCAAGGCTCCCCCCCGAAAACGTAACAGCGCCCCCTTCCAGGAAAAATCCGAACAACAACTACAACAACGACAACAACAATCAGTTGAAGACTGTTTGTTCTTATCCGCCCGCGTGCCACGCAACATCTATATATATATATATATACATGGATATATGTATATATATATAACATACATATATATACACATGTGTATATATATATATATGTATCGGACGTGAGGGGGCGATATCGAAATGGAACGGAGAGCCCCCCTACCGGGAAATCGGTTTCGGTTTCGTGTTCGTGCGTGCCGTGCGCGCGGGCGAGGCGAAGCTGCGTGGGCGGGCGAGAAGAAAATCTCCTGTGTCTGAGGCGCGGCCGGACCAAAAGTCTCTCTTCCGGCAACCGGTGGCGAGCGAAGTCCCGCCGGTGTCCCGCCTCCGGCTGAGGCGCAGCTGGACCAAAAGTCTCCCTTCCGCCAACCGGTGGCGCGCGGTGTCCCGCCGGTGTCCCGCCGGCGTCCCGTTGGTGTCCCGATGATGATGATGATGCTGCTGATGATGATGTCAATGATGTGGATGATGATGATGGTGATGATTATGATGGTGGTGGTGGTGATGATGGTGTCCCGATGATGATGATGTTGACGATGGTGATGGTGATGGTAACGGCCACGGTGGTGATGATGATGGTGCCCCGATGACGATGATGATGTTGATGATGTCGATGCTGCTGATAATGATGGTGTCCCGATGGTGATGATGATGCTTATGAGCATGATGATTTTGATGGTGGTGATGGGATGAGATGATGATGATGATGCTGATGATGATGGTGTCACGATGATGATGGTGATGATGCGGTTGATGAAGATGATGTTGATGATGATGACGATGGTGATATGATGATGATTGTAGTGTCCCGATGATGATGCGAATGATGTTGATGATGACGACCATGGTGTCCCGATGATGGTGCTGATGGTGATGATGTCGATGATGAGGACGATGATGATGTGATGATGATTTTGATGATGGTGGCCCGAAGATGATGATTTTGCTGATAATGACGGTGGTGTTGCCCCGATGATGATGATGTTGATGACGTTGCTCATGTTGACGATGGTGACAAGATGATTGTGCCCCGATGATGATGATGGTTTTTTCTCCAAGAGGGCCATCGAGGATCAGTGCATCTTTCAAATGCCACCAGACGTGGCAGGATATACCACCACGCCTGGGTCTAAGGAAGAACCACTGCGGAGGACCATGTAATAGCACTAAGAGATACCCAGCATGCAAGAGAAGGTAAACCACTGCATAGCACACGGGGCACGATATTAGTGCGAGACCGCTTGATCCCATGGAGCGAGAGTGCCACCAACATAAACACGTGTTCCTGAGAACCGATATACGTAGTCGATGGAGAACCACTTCAGCCTCGCAGATTGACTGGCGTCATATACACGGAACTTGGCGTAGAAGATCGCGGCCTTCCTGAATAGCCTTGAGCATGTCTGCCTGAGCCAAATGAGATCACCCGCGTCAAGGAAGCAAACCGGCCTGCATTGCGGGGGGACTTCGGCGAAGACGGCGCAGTGCGGGGCGGGGGGCGCCCGGGCAGTTGGTGGAACCAAAATGACTCCAAATTACGCATGACCACAGTGAGAAGAAACAATGCGCGCGTGAAGGAACGGCACAGGTATCCCATGAGAACAGCGCCAAAGAGAGAGCAAGAGGGGAAGCAAGTATGAGCGTGTCAGCTCACAACCATGGCAGCTTTCATAGCATCGGCATTGTTTTGACATCCCGAGCACACGCCAACGTCGCATGATTCGCATGATAGCAGGAAACTACCATGTGCACTGATGTCCTGCCCGCAATAGTCACAGCAGTACGTTCCCGACAAAAGGGCGGTGTGATCGCGGTGCCCATGCGTAGCCAAGCAGTTAGACTGAAAGGTATCTTCGCAAAGGATCACTCTGCCCACCACAAACTGCGCGTCACCAGTCGCGCCGCCACAAGGCCCCTCCTGAACCTGGGGGCCCCGAGGGGTCCACGAACGGAGGAAACGCCAAGCCTGCTTTTGAGCTCCTCAATCGCCCCCATAGGGTTGACGTTGATGATGCATTGGATCACGCCGATCGGGTTGTCGAAGAGATTGGGCTGGAGGTAGATGGCGAGGGAGCGTAGCCAATGGTCACGCTGAGCCTTGCGACCAGGGTTCAGAGAAACATACTTACCAGAGAAATGCTTCGCAACTTATGAAGTCATCGTGGTCGATGAGCAGGGGCCCCCAACCGGCGACGAGTTGACAGCCACTTCCGATCCCTGAAGAACCGCATCTGGGTGCTGGGACACGTAGTTCTCGACGAGATGAGAGCCTGTCTTTTGAATCCGAGAGAGTGTGCGCACTGTGCTGGCCGCAGCGTCAATTCCATCATCTTCAATAACATCAATAAATGATGGGCCAGTAATCTCATCTTCTTCGCTGCTCTGCTGCGCGCAAAGGGCGATGTCAGCGATCTCCTCCCCCGAAGAAACAATTGGTATAATATGCATAACTTCGTCTCCGTCGTCGCCGTGTTCCTGCTTTGGGAGCGAAGGGGCAATGGCAATAATCTCAGACAAGAGGGAAAACCACTTAGGGTGGGCAGCTGCATTCCACTTCCGACTCAAGAGCCCGAGCCGATTCGAAAGAGCGCTGTGACCTCCGCTGCGAAGACGAGCATTCGCATCTTGAAGCCGCGAGCACCCGAGGGTTTCCAGAATAGCCTCTTGGATAATAATCGGGCCCTCATCCGCAGGGCGATCAGAGTTGGCACTGAATTGGCAGATGGCCGCTCGAATGGCAAAGCGGCGATCGCTGGAGCACAGCGAGGAAGCGGCAATGGAGTCGAACACACCAGTGAGCTCCATGAGGCCGTGAGAAACAATTGCAGAGAGGGAGCAATCGCGCCGCCCCCAGCTCGCCAAATGGCTTGAGCCAAAATGGCTACGGGCCGATGATGATGATGATGTTGATGAATGTGACGATGATGGTGCCCCGATGATGATGATGGTGAGGATGATGATAGTGATTATGTTGATGTTGATGTTGTGATGGCGATGATGATGGTGCCCCGATGATGATAATCATGGTGATGATGTTGATAACGTTGATGACGATGCTGATGATGTCGTTGATTATGAGATCGATTGTGATATCGATAGTGAGATCGACAGTGGAACCGAATGTGAGATCGATTGTGAGATCGGTAGTGAGATCGATAGTGATATCGATTGTAAGATACATAGCCAGCTCGATTGCGAGTCCGATTGAATGAAAGATATTGAGTGAGATCGGTCGTGGGTCGATCCAGTGAGATCGATCCAGCGAGACCGATCGCGATATCGATACTGATATCGGTAGTGAGACCGATCGACTGAGACGTTGGTTTTTCCCCCCCCGAACCTCCTTATCACCCGAAGGGTGGTCGTATAGGTGTGTGTATATCTGTATGTGTATGTATGTATATATAACTATATATATAGTTATATGTATATATACACATATATATATACATATACATATAGCCCAAACCCTCGATACCCTCCTTCTTTGCCTTCGACCGTACCCCTTCTGGAGTATATCTTCCGTACCTGCCACGCACATTGAGCGCAGCCCCTAAAACAGGGGAAAGGGGGACGGATTGGAGAAGAGAAGAATGGATCACGAGAAATGGCCTCCCGCGGAGTAAATCGCGAAGAAGCATCGAGGGGAAACCCTTGTTATCGCGGTTGCGCCCCCTCTAATTTGGCTGAGTTGCCAGGAAGTCTCCAGCGAGAGCGCTGTTCCTGAGTTCGGGAACCTGTCTGGCCAGGGCCTCCCGGAGTAATTCGCGAGGAAATATCGAGCGACCAACAAACATTACAATGCAAAATGAGAATTCAACGTCGCAGCACCCCTCCCAGCCTCAGACCAAGGCTGGGAATGTTGGTGGCACAACGGCGTGTTTACACCGTCTCCCCGTCCAGGGTGCAAGCGTTGGCGTTCCGCCCTGGCCCCCGTTGTTGTTCAGATCTTGTTATTGCTGATGCAAAAAAAAAAACGAAAGAATTGTGAAGCCCCCCCCAGAAATCATTCGGATCGCCTCAAGAATCCTGAAGGACCGCGTCGGGATCCCTACAGACCCCTCAGGAATCTGAAGGACACCTTCAGGCATCTGCACGAAACCCAAGGAAATCCATAGGCCATAGGAAGCCCTAAGGAATCCAATGGGAACCCTGAAAATGTCGTTACGAAAC